GCTATAACCAATAAAGACCAATGAATATAAAAGTACAATTGAACTATATTGTTCTTACACACCTAATTTTAGATTTTTATATGTTGTATTTTATCCTATGAATAAATTTTATCTGAGGATTGGAAAAATCGGACCTCAGACATACATACACATTAAATTGAACAATACACATGTTTATGTATCTATAAATATTTGTTACATTAATAATTATATTGACTTACCAGAAGTTAGTAAACTATATTCAGACCACTTTCATTGACAATTTAATCCAGAAGAATACCAAATGGAAATAATTGGAATCGTATATGGGTGGTGTTGAAAGTCAAGCCTTTGCTATATAATATTTTTTTCATTAGGTTAAAACAAAAGTTAGAAATCTATTGTTTTTCTGCCATGGTATGTAATACCTATATACATATTGAAAAGGACTGTTGATAGCTGTTGAATATGTTGTGTTATATATTATTGTAAATATTTATATTTCGAGTGTATAAAAAATTGACTGATTTTATTTATTATTGTGTACAGAATAAAGATCTTTCGAACTGTGCGTTGTATTTTCTTGAAAGGCGTAGACTAAAGTCCCACACTTGGGCATACCTCTTATTTTGATAAGATTACGTAGTAGGTAGATTATAAAGAAAACCAACATTAAATTGGAGTCAATTTATTTAGGAATACGCTTATTTAATAATAATATTTGCATCAAAATACTGCAATAACGACTAACGGTATCAAGAAAGCTAAGTTTTACGACGCTAATATCGGCTTTGCGGCGACACGTTTCTCCGTGTTAAAATTAGTAAAGAAACACGTCGCGGCAGCCACACAATATCAATACAAAATAATATCTCCATACACTTAGTCGAAAATGCATTCAACTGAGTATAATACAGGTATGAGTGCGCGCGGCGTGAAACTAAACAAAACTTAAGATATATATACACAAATGTTACAAACTAATATCGATTGTTTCATTTACAGAAATGTTTTGTTTTGCTATTTTTGTGCTACTTAACTATTTTATTCTAATTATATAAATGAATTATTTTACGGTCATGTTAAAGGTCTATAAATAAAATCTAGAAGAAATATAAATAAGAACTACAGTGGAAGTGGGTAGTTGTCGTTTTCTGCCGCAAAGCAACGAGTAAGAGAGTCACCGTAATCAAGATGGTGTTGTATTTCATCTAAGACCTTAAGGTTACGCTAGTCGGTCATTTTTCAATACTTAAGAAGGAGTGTGGTTACTCCACCGTTAGATGATGTAGGTCTAACATTGAGAAGGATATTTTTTAGAATTGCGTTGTCTGTATTAAGGCGTGTACGCAAGCAGAACAGAAAAAAGGATTGATATGAAAATGAGGGGTTTGAAAACATCCATATTTTAAATACGAATTTTGCAAATTCGAGCGTAAATAAATAACATAATAAATACGACTACTCTAAAAAAGCAACATATTAGCATAGCTTATTTCTTCAAAGTTCAAATGAATTAATTTAAAAAAAGTACATTTTTATCCATAAAAACTTTAGGGTATTTTCGTAATTTTTTCCTAAATTTTCCGCGCTCTTTTTTTTTTACGCATGCACAGTAGTTTCTTACCGCTCTTTACTGAGTTCAGTTTCCTATCTCACACCACGCTAGGAGAAACAACACGCATTTCAGCCACGCTTACCAAGTTAGTTCAGGGTCGTCGACTAGCACAACCCTAAATGTGACTTAACCGCCGACGAGTTCAGTCGACTAGCACAACACTAAATGTGACCTAACTCGCCGACGAGTTCAGAGTCGACTAGCGCAGCCTTAAGCCTGACAACTGACCTAACTAATATGAGCATGAGTTTTGATCCATATCGCTATCGAGTGATTGTATAACAAAACATAATTTCATTATATATATATATATATATACACGATTTCATAATTTTATTTAATATTTCCGCCAGTGATGCTGTTCATACTGTCCATACAATTTATGAATGACGATACGAAAATGTTAGTGTCAAAAATTTGTGCGAATGTTATAGATTTAGTGCCGACAGTGGGACATGTGAAGAACAAGGTTTTAAATAAAATTTTTAATTTAAATAAAAAAGATTCATCAAAAGCGGTTCACCCGGAAAAAGTTGTGAGGAAACACACATAAAAAATGCAGTCGAATTGACAAATTCCTTTTTTGAAGTCGGTTGAAAAAACTGCGGTTGCAAGCGGCCTGTCGAGCGTGGCAACTGATGTCTATCCATGTAAGAATATCCACTTACTAGAATTCTACCTGAGCCGATAGCAATAAAATTTTTATTTTTAATTTTAAGTTTAAATTTGACTTTAATAGGAAAGTAAAAATGAAACACACTATTTTATAATTGTTGCTTACCTCCAAGATTACCGAGTCATCATCCCGTGGATGTCGTAAGAGGCGACAGAGGGAAACAAATCAAGAGATGGGTAGCAGCGTCTTCCTCATAAGGTCTAAAAATAAAAAACTGCAGCTGTCGACCCACTTGCCAAGCGTGGCAACTGTGGCAAATATCCTCCGATGAGGCAATATACGGAAGAAACCTATGTTCAATAGTGAACTTAAGATAGGCTGTAATAATGATTTCAATAATACATAAAATATGTATTATATTAGACAAATAAAAATTATAAAGTACAATATACATATAAAAATAAATTAGTTTCACGCCGTGCTGTATCTACTAATTATAAATTCATACAAAAATTCGGTGCGCATTATTTGTCAATGCTCACATTCCTGAGGGTTGACTATTAATTAATTGTTTATCTATACAAACGGGAGCCCCAGTAACATAAATAAACAAACTGCCCAAGGAGTCTTAATATAAGACTATAAATAAAACTTCGCCGATTTAATTGAAATTTACGTGCTTATTGGTTTTCGTAAGAAGGTAACTTTAAACGATTAGAATGTATTATTTCCCTAGCCTTAGCTTCCGACGTCTATACATTCTATAAATAAATCAAGAGTATACGCTATTGCCTAGTAAAATCTTTTGTGTGTTTTGGCGGTTTTTCTACTACATAAAAATATAATAAAAATCTATACAAAGCCTTGAATTTTATTTCAAAACCCGACTTAGGAAGCTAATTACACAAGTAAAAAAAATAATGATTTTTAATATGGCAGAATGTTAAGATAATACTCCTTGAGTAAGCTTGTCTATACTTCGAAAGCCTTCCATTCGCCGCCCACCAAAATGGCTACTCAACTATTAATATTATTGTTATACATTTAAATTATACTATGCTATGGCGGTATGAATTTGGAATGGACAAGCAGTCAGTTTTTTCGGTGGATCGGCAAAGGAAACAAACCTTCAGCCTTACAAGGATTTGTGCAATAAACGAAAACATTTTTCTATTTTACACGACAATTTCACGCATATTTCTAAATCCGCAACGACAAATACATCACCCTTCTATAATCGAAAAATACATTAAAAGTACACATAAAAATGTGTTCACACTTACATCTATAAAATGGAAGTTGTATGTAATCTGGCAATGTTTTAATTAGTGTCGAAACATTTAATTAAAAAAATTGTGCAATTTTACCATCGAGAAAAATCAAAACGTGTACATTAAAAAGTAGTTTAATATAAACCATAAAAACCTTAGAAAATTGTTCATATTTACACGCCACAGATAATATCAAATTATATATAAACGAAAATATCAAATTTAGTATCTATTTATATATTTCTTTATTATTATTGCTTTGACCAATTAACCCCTTAGACTATGTAATTGCATTCTGGGACAAATAAATTATTATCAAAATAAATAAATGCTTAATCCGTCTAATTACTAATAAAATATTTTCACTTTATAAAGATATTTAGAAATTCTAGCAAGTCACTATAATATAAAATGGTGTATCCGAATGTTAACGCATAGCAAATTTCTTTTTACGTATATTTTACATATGTGAGACACTAGTGCTATAAAAGATAAAGATATATTGCGAAAAATTGTCTTCTACATGCGATTCTGTAAATTGGCTTCTGTGAACAAAACCTTTACATCATAAGTCAAACTGACGTAAATTGTCGAAAATATAATAAAAAGTAACATAATTTCGTTTTCTGTTGAAAATTAAAACGTTATAATAAACCATATTTAGAGAAACAGTTTAAATTGGTACATTAGCATTAGAAAGGAGACGAATAAATCAGGTGAAGTTAATTGAAGTTGGAAATTTATTTTGTGCGTAAACAAATACGACTGGTTCAAATCTCGTTACTTCTTTCAAATATTCTGTCTCAAACATTTCATTGTAATTGAGCTACACTTCTGTAATCGGGAATATAAATGATTTACTAATAATCAGTCGGTGATTTAAGGACGATATTGCCGCAAATACTATTGTCATTAAAAAAATTGCCATAGATAACAAATGTAAAATGGCGGCAAATCTGACATAATATATAAAAGTTATAAACCTTAATTAAATTGTTCATGATCTCTGCATTTACACTAAACCAAGCGTCGTTCTTTACAATACTATAAGCGGGAAACACTAACCGACAGGTACAGCAAGAATTGCAAACCCTAAGTATACTAGTTACGTCTTCCGGCTTCACGTCTAATTCATAACTTTAGGGCTGCCAACTATACTCTTTTACAGTATTTTACCTCGAAATACGTTTTACTGCAGAACAAAAATAATGTATGACAAAATACCGTTTTATCGCTTATCGAACTAATTATGATATACTATATCTATGTTTGTATGTATGTTCATAAAGACAATTTTCTCTCGTAAATACTGTTTACTTTCAGCCAATTTATATATACTGTAATTTCTCAAAAAAAAAAAAACGTTGACAGCCCTACATAACGTATCCAAACGGACACAACTGTTACCCAATCACATAGCTGCGCGCGTTCGTAAGTTCGTGAACTCAGTGCGGTTTCATTATAGGACGCTCGGTGTTAGTTCGAGCGGTGGTGGTGGGGGGGGGGAGCGCGGCGGTCAGCTGTCGGCCGGCAGCAGGTGCTCGGGCACCGGCACGGCGCGGAGTCGGGGGGGGATCTTCTTCTGCGGGCACAGCGTCTGCGGAACATATCCCATTTACAATATCGCTAACCGTATACGAATAAGAATATCCGTGTAAGTGCCGTGTAAGAATATCCCTTATATCGTCCTGTTGGTCCGTATGTCCAGGAGCTGGGCAGCAGCATTTATCTGATAACAACTGTAAATTATAAACAAGCTGCGGCTGCCCACCTATCAAGCGTGGCAACTATGGCAAAATCACCTCTATAAGGCCTCACCTTTATTCTCTCTCACTCACCGTTATATGGGGGAGGCCTATGCCAGGAGTGGACTTTTATAGGCTGTAATGGATGAAATAGTATCGCAAACGTGCGCCGAAGTCCAAATTATTGTATTTTAGATTGAGGTGTAGTACGATTGTTCTCGAGTCTAAGATATTGCACCCAAAAAAAAAAACTGTTTAGAAGACTGACTCTAAAATTCATATATACTTAGTTGTGTTACATTAGATTTGTCCATACTCACAACACTGGTCACCAGGTTACATGGACGTAATCAAAATTTTTTCCAGGTTGGGGTTCATGAAACATTGGCCTTAATTTGTCTAAACACTATTAAAAAGAGAAGGATTAGTGAAGACAAGAGATTCTGAAGGATGAAGTGTCTTTTACTCACAACGTCGGCTAATTGAGATACTATTAATAATTTCAAATTAAAATCATACAGAGTATGTATAATGTAGTAACCATTATATTATGGTGTTATGGTGTATTATGGTGTTTACGACTCTACGAATATGCATAGTAATTTGCCCAAAGTAGAACAACTAATTTTAACTCACCCGTCTAGCGAACATGAAACACCCCGTGTCCTCTTCCTGTGTGTTCGTGGTCGCCACCAGTTGTAAGTCTGGGGTTCGACTTTCCTTGCCGTCTTCACCTGACACATTTTTTTTAATTATTCTATGAGTTATAAGACGATTATATCGTGACTAGAGCTCAACAAACTGCGGTCATATTATGTTTGTAGCACTAATGGGTCGGCTCGATTGGGGAAGGACCACACATTCACAGAATACCAGCGTAAAGCGTAGAGAACCGGAGACTCATTTTACTGGAAACAAGGCATTCCATCTTAGTCCTCAGGAGTGACACCGCATTCTGCATCATGTAGATTAGAAACGAGAATCGCTACGTGCTAAAGCATAGCCCGTCTGTCCTTGAAAATTAGTAGAATTTATAGCGACGCTGCCGTCGGTAAGTAGTATCTGCGAAGTAATTTTTGACAATAAGAAACATTAAAAATTTGTGAAATATTATAAATAAAATAATAATAATAAATCAATAATAATTTATAATATTTATAATAATTAAAATTATAAAAAAACATAATTTATAGTTTGTTTATTAATATGATGGTAGTCAAGTTGATGTTGTTTATACAGATTATAGTAAGGCTTTCGACCGGATTGAACATAATTTGCTTTTAAAAAAAACTTCAGTACGTTGGTATCTGTGGAAACCTACTGCGGTGGTTCTCCTCTTATCGACAATCGCTCGCAAGCTGTAGTTGTTAACAATTATATATTAGGTTGAGTGTCAATACTGAGTGGCGTACCACAGAGGTCCTTGCTGGGACCGTTGCTATTTCTCATATTTGTTAACGATATTGGAACCTGTTTTAAATCATCACACCTACTGTGTTTTGCTGATGATATGAAAATATTTTCCACAATCTCATCGCAGGCTGATGCTGAATTGATGCAGGAAGATCTACTAAGATTGGAGGAATACTGTGATATTAATAAGCTTGAACTAAATCCATCAAAATGTACCCTCATTACATATTCACGCAAGCGAAACTTAATTCATTTCGGCTATCACCTTAATGGTCAGAAGGTACAAAAACAATCAGTTGTACGTGATCTAGGGATTTTCCACGACTAATTATTATTATATCGGTCTAATAATATTTTTAATAATTTATGCAAAAAGCATAATTTTGATTTGTTTAATACTAGCTATGTATCGGCAAGGCGGACATTAAGTCGAGAGTTTTTGTGTCGTAATTTAATTTATTTTAAGTACAATTATGTTGTGCGTTTAGCCCTGCTTTTCTTTTCCTTTGTGGCTATTATTGGTAGTTTCACTTATTAAATTTATGATGTACATTTAAATTAGACTCCATTTTTGTTGCTCATAATTGTGCTATGTCTTTAAACGACGAAAGATTATGTTAGTGTATTTCTATTAGTGAGAACCTGTTATTGGCTTCTTGTAAATTTAACATTTTATTTATTTAAGATTTGTAAGCTGTTGGTTTTCCATTACATAGAAATAAAATGAAATAAATTAATAAATAATAATAACTTCGTTATTTTTTTTCTTCTTTGAATAATATTAATCATTTCAAAATAGCGCTCAACAGCCTGGTTTTATTGAGACAACTTAGCGATCGCAGCGCCTCACTTATGGTGTCCATATTTCTGGGACACTATTTTCTACAGCGATCGTTCTCCCGTTTTCTAACCTTCATGATAGAGGTAAGGAGAACAATCTCCCATAGGAGAATAGTTGAAAATGCGTGTTTTCTAACCTCCATGGTCTGCATATAGATTCTTAATCAAGGATAGTTGTAGATGTCAATGGGCCACAGCATCCACTTACCATTAAGTGAACTGTATACTCCTTAGTAACCCTTATTCGGCAAGTGTAAGGGATACGAACAGTTTTGTATTAGCAAGGAATATCGATGATGTCTACCATACTAATTGTGAAAAAATTATGGCTTATATTTATAAACTTTAAAGACAAACATTTAAAAGGTACGGTGAAAACGAAATGCTCTTATTAAAAAAATCGTGAATATTTGATAGGGTGTTATTCAGTCTGAAGGGCTTGATGTCTAAAGTGTGTATATTTTTATACAGGGAATATCCCGCTAGCTCAGAAAGAACAGCAAACAGGTTAGCCTGTTTGCTCGCGACGCGAATGGCGGGAATTGCAAATTTTTTGCTAACTTGCAAATTTTGCTATATTTTCACTTTGAGACAATATTTATGGATAAAACTTATAGGAATTCTTGTTGAATGTATAAACTGTCGAATAAAATTATTTTTGGTTGCTAGAAATTGTAATAAAATAAGTATAATACTTTCGTTTTTAGTCCAGACACAAATATAAAATTCTACAAAAAAAGATGGAGCACCTTCTGCAATGCGACACGTGGAACGCCAAAAGTTCAGAGTGATTTCTTTTTTTTTTCTAAGAAACATTGCCAGGTTATGATTTAAAATAAAAGAGCATATCTTTGTCTTTTACTATATCATTCATTGCATATTGTCTTTGGTTTTGTTTAAAACAAAAAAATATTTTTTCATACGGTATCGAATTTGGTACCAAATACTGCCCGTATTTGGTACCAAATTCGATACCGTCCTGAGCCAGCCGTTTCTATGATATCGAATAAGAGTATGGCCATGAGCTTACGCAATATTATGTTTAACCGACTGCATTTATTCAAGTAACTGAAACTTATAATCCTCTAGTGAAATGTGAAATCCAAAGTCTTCGACTACTTATTAAATATGAACCCTAAACTCCTCACCTCTGGCGAAGACATTGAGCTCTGTGAAGCAGCCGGTTTCGATCATCTCGGTCTGCCAGGGGATGCTGACGCTGCCCGTGTTGAATTTGCCGTAGAATGTGTCGTCGGCCGCGTCCAAGTTCACGCCCTTCACCGTCGAGAACTGCTCGATGTCCAGGACATCCTTCGCGTATACCGCATGTGGCTGCACACGCAGTAAACAGATGCCAATTATTGTGCTATAACTAATACAATTATAGTTCAATAATTGCGGTTTAAGATCTAAGTAATTGACCACTTCCACTTATCGTATGTATGACATTAAAGTCGACGACAGGAGCGTGAGAAATAGTTAAGGCTTTGTCAAACAGGACGCGTATTTTAGCGCTGCGTAGTAGCGTTATAGCGTCCCGTTTTAACGTCGCGCGAGGCTTCGTCAAACAGAACGCTTTAGCGCGCGTTAGGGCGCTGACTCGATGACACGGCGCCGCCATTTCGCCATTCGCCAAAGCGTAGTGCAGATCGTTAGCAGTGTGAAGAGTTTGTTCGTTATGGAGATGTCGAGTGATTCAGATGTGGAAGAATTATGACATTTATATGCTTTATCACGGTCACAGAGAAAAAGAGTATGGGTGCACGACATCAATCAAAAGAGAAAGGATTTAGGAGAATATCATCGTTTGTGTCGTGAGCTTGCATCACATAAAGATGTGTTTTTTTACAAACTTTCGTATGTCTCAAGATTTATTCGAAGAACTACATGAACTGCTCATCCCAAAAATAAGCAAATGTACCACAAACTGGAGGACGCCTATTTCTACAAGAGAAAGACTTGTAATCTGTCTAAGGTAAGAAATATTTATTTTTTTATATACATGTTCATTGCGTTATTATTATGAAAATCAATCAAAATCAGCTGAGTTGTAATCAGATGTCGATGCTCCAAAATTAGTTACATGTAGAATATCGATTTCGCGTAGTGGTTGACGTAGCTGCTCAGGCTGTTGCAGGTATGATGAAGTACTGTTAGATAAATCTATAACAGCTACTGGGGATGAATCTTCGGGCACAGAATTGGGTACTGCATAGCAGACGGTACTAACTTCGGTACTATAATGAATAATGGAATAATGTGGTGAATTCAATATCTGAACGTTTTCTTGCAGTTCCTCTGTTTCTATGCTTGCAAATAACTTGGCTAGTTCTACTTTGGCTTTTATCTGTTTGTCTTTGGAAAAACTTTTAAATGTTTTAAACTTTGGAATAGGTGATCTATGGCATCATACTCTTGTTTTTTTATTTTGAAGAAAATTTATAACTTTATCCATTTCGCTGTCAGTTTTTTTTATTTTCTTAGCTCGTGAACTATTTGTGTCATTTGTTTGGGGCGTCTCTAGCGGAGGTGTTTCTGGCGGGGGTGCGCTTTGTGTTCTTGGTGGAGGTGTCTGTGGTGGAGGCGTCTCTGGAGATTGAGTTTCTATAGCTGACGATGTTTCTGGTGTAGGTTCTCGAACATTTGAAGTTGTTTCTCGATCTGTCAGAGTTGAGTCAAGGAACTGTAACTGGGAAGATCAAGGCCATTTTGTAAATTTTTTTGCAGCTTGTCCTGTAGTACCTGCAACCTCTTTTTTGTATCTCATATAATTGTCCCTCAAGCTCTTCCATTTTTTTTAGCTACTTCACCTGTAAAATAAACATAAATTGTATTATTTTGTTTCAGGTACTTAGCTACGGGTGATTCACATCAGACCATAGCCTTTTCCTTCCGAGTAGGTCGTTCAACAGTCGGTGGTATTCTAAAAGAAGTCTGTACAGAAATCTGGAATACATTACAACCAGAATATATGCCATCGCCTACTGAAGAGACATGGAAACAATCAGAGAAGGGTTATAGGGAAACCTGGAACTTCCCGAATTGTGTCGGTAGTATTGAAGGGAAACGTGTCTCTATAAAGTGTCCCAAAAATAGTGGATCAGAATATTTTTGCTACAAGAAGTTTTTTTCTGTAGTTCTTCTTGCTATAGTCGATCCATGTTACAAATTCACCGTCATAGATGTCGGTAGTTACGGGCGGCATAGTGATAGTGGTATATTCGGGAACTCAATATTTTATCGGCAATATATCCACGGAAAATCTCTGCTGCCAGATAAACCTCTTCCAGACACCAAGGAGCCCGTACCTCATGTACTTATCGGCGACGAAGGTTTTGCTTTAAAAACATATTTGATGCGTCCATTCCCAAGAGCCTTAGCTACACAAGACGAAAGAAAAACAAATTTTAATAAAAGACTTTGCAGGGCACGTCGGGTGGTTGAAAATACGTTCGGAATATTAGCACAAAAATGGCGCATTTTTTTACGACCTATTGACTGTGATGTGGACACAGCAATTGATATTATTAAAGCTGCCTGTTTACATAATTACTTACGAACAAAACAAGGTACAGCGATATTAACTCCGGAGTCGGAAGACGAAAACGTAACAATGCGTGCTCTAATAACTCATCGTCCAACAAATAGAAGATCAACGACTGCAGCATTCGAAACTCGTGAACAATTTGTGTCTTATTTTAATCAATAAACGATTTTTTTTACTTACCAGTTTCATTAATTTCTTCTCCGATTTGTGCCCACAATTTTGCCTTCATTGATATATCTTTATACGAACTATCCTTCGTATTATATAAGCATGGATATTTTCTAACCAATTCTATAACATTTTCGGTCACTATGCAGTATTTTATTATTATTTTACACCTATTCACTCCGACGCTCAAATAAAATTTGTAAAAGAATACAACACCCGACGTTAAAGCGTCCTAACGCCACGACAGAGCGTTGCGTACTGCTAGCGTCGGCGCTCTGTTTGACGGTATTCTACGATGGTAGTACAACACATCTTAGCGTCATAGCGCGGCGTCAAGTTAACAATCTGACGCGCGCTAAGTACGCGTCCTGACTGACAAAGCATTTATTGGCAAGCGATTGACCAGAAAATCTCACAACCACAGCTCATATTTGGGACAGAAAATCCGTTTGACCATAAATCTTGTTTAACGGTACATCCTCCTCTTGGGTAAAAAATGATGATCTTAGCAGTGCGCTTACTCCTGTGTTTCGGTAGGAAAGGATAATGAGTCAGTATAATAAGACGCAGTGAGGCAGTGTGCGCAGTGAGCGAGTGAGACGGAGCGAGTGTGGGAGTGTGACAGTGCGGCACGTACGTCGGGCACGAAGGACGCGTCCAGCAGGCCGGCCTCGAGGCGCGCCCAGTTGAGGCGCGTGAAGAAGCAGTGCGCCTTGACGTGCGCGGCGCTGCGCCGGCCCGCACCGCCGTCGAGCCGCGCGTCGTGCCGCTTGGCCAGCTGCGCCGCGCACAGTTAGCGAGTGATACGGAGCGAGTGTGGGAGTGAGACAGTGCGGCACGTGCGTCGGGCACGAAGGACGCGTCCAGCTGGCCGGCCTCGAGGCGCGCCCAGTTGAGGCGCGTGAAGAAACGATGCGCCTTGAGGTGCGCGGCGCCGCGCCGGCCCGAACCGCCGCCGATCCGCGCGTCGTGGCGCTTGGCCAGCTGCGCCGCGCGCAGTGAGCGAGTGAGACGGAGCGAGTGTGGGAGTGAGACAGTGCGGCACGTACGTCGGGCACGAAGGGCGCGTCCAGCAGGCCGGCCTCGAGGCGCGCCCAATTGAGGCGCGTGAAGAAGCGGTGCGCCTTGACGTGCGCGGCGCCGCGCCGGCCCGCGCCGCCGCCGAGCCGCGCGTCGTGCCGCTTGGCCAGCAGCGCCGCACACAGTGCACGCGCGCACTCGCTGAACTTGCTCGAGTACTTCTCCTGCTCGTGCTGCAACAGGTCACGCGCCACTTGATAACACCCACGATCCTACGTGTACTCTATGTACAGATAAAGAGAACCATCTTATTATTCTTATGTGTGCCAGCGCTTAACCACAATCCCACTAAGTGGTAAGTGTTAATGAAGCCCTAGACGGTAAATCGCACTATCTTAGCGTTATAAAGGCCTATTCACTCTTGCCTTGAAGACCCACAGATTTTTTTATTTTATTATACATCCTTCATTCATCATCATCATCATCATCATTACAGCCCTTCACAAGTCCACTGCTGAACATAGGCCTCCCCCAAGTAATGCCACAAAGCACGGTCCTGAGCCACCTGCATCCATCGACTTCCTGCATATCTTACCAGGTCGTCACTCCATCTAGTGGGGGGTCGCCCTACACTACGCCTACCGGTACGAGGCTGCCACTCGAGAACCTTTCTTCCCCATCGGTTATCGGTTCTTCGAGCTATATGGCCGGCCCATTGCCACTTCAGCTTACTAATCCGTTGGGCTACGTCGGTCACTCTGGTTTTACTGCGGATATCCTCATTTCTGAGTCTATCACGCAGAGAAACTCCGAGCATAGCCCTCTCCATAGCTCGCTGAGCGACCTTGAGCGTCCTCATACGGCCAGCAGTGAAGGACCACGTCTCAGATCCGTAAGTCATCACTGGCAACACGCACTGGTCGTACAATTTAGTTTTTAGAGATTGAGGTATACCTGACGAGAACATATGTCGTAATTTCCCGAAAGCTGCCCAGCCGAGTTGAATCCGTCGATTGACCTCTCGGTCGAAGTTGGACTTACCTAGTCGGACTATTTGTCCCAGGTAAACATACTCGTCAACAACTTCGAGCATAGTGCTCCCAACAACTACCGGCATAGGTGTGACATGGACATTAAACATGATCTTTGTTTTGTCCATGTTCATCTTAAGACCTATCAGTTGGGAGGCACTATTGAGGTCATTGAGCATAGTGCTTAAGTCCTCCAGCGATTCTGCCATAAGGACTATATCGTCGGCAAATCGAACTGTTACATCCTTACGAATTTTAATTAAAAATGGACTACCGAATATGAAAATAATATGTATTACGTGCTAGAACACATCGCGTACAAAATCTGTGCGGCAATGCTGAACGCAAGGAAGCTTTTGTGTGGTGTTTGCGGTGTGCGTGTGTGTGTCCACACTCTAGTTTAACAACCTTAACGTTTAGCAACTAGAGTGTGGAGAGCATAGAATACTATAATACAAAATAGAATGGCTGTCAACCTTATTTTGTACGCGGATAGGCGTCGCCGGGAGCACACATACAAGCAATTACGTCGTATTATCAGTTAATCACTACTACGAACCCGATTCGCTGTGTTGACAGACGGATTTTAATATATATTTATTTGTAAATAGCGTGCAATTTGGCATTTTCTAAATAATTTGCATGCAAAATTTGGAAACGATTGTAACATCAAAACACATCTCGTGTTAACATTTATACGTGTGAATTGACGTCACGTCAATTATTAAGGGATGTCAATTGAAAGTAAAAAAATACATTGCGAAATGTTAATTATGTTACTTACTTAGGTGAAGTACCTATTCTGACAATGATCGACTGACCATACTTCGCCCCTATGTGAGTATTGCAATGCCTAACCCATGCAAATTGCAAGGTCATTCGTCGGGAATCGCGACGCTTGGTTCGGAAGAAATAGGTAGATAGTGTGAACAACAAATAAACCTGAAATACGATTCCTAACAGAAATGTGATCTATTCTACTTACTTAAAAATCTTCTTAGTATACAAAGTTTTAATATCAGTATTTTGTGTTGTTAGTTATAATAAACTTAAAATATTTTAATTACAAAATACAAGTATAGGTATGTATATAAGTAAATGGATGGATAGTGAAGTAAATTTTAACTAATTTTTGTAATAAAGTACTAGGTATTTCTTCTGTAGATCAAATTATTACTTAATTCTTTTTTGCTGTAAGTACCTATCTAACAAAAAAAAAAAAAAATTCACCTTTCATAATTTCCTTGTAAAATTCTTCGGTAACTTAAAGAATGATATGAAACCTTTTGTTGGTCATTTCATTTAGTATCCATCCACGCAACAGTTATAGTAGGAACGACGTTTTGCCATATTAAAATTTATTAAATAATGGGTAATATACACAATATATAGTACTTAAATTACATTAAAACATTTGAACTACTTTATCCTATAATTAAATATACTAAACACGAAACAAAAACTATTTCAACAATATTTACAAAAAGTTATATACGTAAACAGCGTTAAAAAACTTTAACATTCAATCGCCTCCAACGCGCTAGCTCTGACTGCGTTATTTCGCCCGGGCGCGTCACGATTTTCGGTAATTATTTCACGTAGGTAGCAAGAGTGATAGAGGCCTGCCAGTGGTTATTATCATCCATAAACTCCTTAATATTATAATAACCCTTTTTATACAAACCTAGTTTAATAAAGTTTTTTAACTTTGTGCAGCTTGGTGCACACAAACTTTGTATATTTTCTGGGATTTTGTTGTAAAAGCGTCACCACCACCCACATCACCCCAAGAATGAATTACTGACTCGGTAGAGACGAGTAACTCGTACTACTAACTTGCGTCTGCTTCTTTTTGTAAAACTACTTTTAGTTTTGTGTACGTACATTACATTTTCATAAATGAATTGAGAGGTCAATGTTATAATAAAAAAAAAAACCAACTGTAACAATATATATGCGGTGTTGCCAAGCGTATACATACACAACATAAAAAGAAAAGTTCTAATCTTTTTTACAGCAATAGCTGAATAATCGCACCCTTTGAAGCTTTGCGTCTAGTGTGATTCCATGAAAAATGGTGGTATCAACAAGACTTAGCTTATTTAAAATTACATAAGTATTAACATGTTTGACATTCGGAGTTACGAATTTCATACATTTAGTTTTAATGCCATTTAATTGCAAATTATTAACATTAAACCAATTTACTAACTTAGATATAGCATTATTCACTTTGTTATAATTTAATAACTGTCGTTTTAATTTGAAAATAAATGAAATTTCATCAGCAAATAATACTATATCATGTTTATCCCCCACTACGTAAGGTAAGTCATTAATATACACAAGAAACACAAAGGGGCCGAGAATTGAGCCCTGAGACCCGCCCATTTGTTCTGTCGACCCGGAAGAACTCATACTATTAATGACAACTTTTTGCGTTCTATTACTTAAATATGAAATAATTAATTTAAGAATATCACTTCTTACACCGAAGTGTTGAAGTTTCCTGATTAATGTTTCATGGTGAACACAATCGATGTTTTTGGATAGGTTACAGAATATACCTAAGCATTCTCTGAATTCTCCCATGCATTGCAGATATACGAGTATTTAATCAGCTCAACACCAGCATCAGTTGTCGAGCGACCCCTTGTGAAACCGAAATGATTTTTATGTATGGTTCATGAGCATAAAAATTAAGGCGTGATTTTTACTGACAGCTGTCGCATAGATCAAGCTATCTTTTATGAACTATAGTAAATTATTTACATAAAAAAACAAACACGCAGAGTTAAACGTCTACTTCAAACATTTTTCACCTTTCAAGTTTTTTTTCATTCATCAGGTTAGTTACATAAACATACATAAACACTCACGCCTGTCACCCAGAGGGGTAGGCACTTCCATTTGGCACGACCCTGACACACCTCTCTCGCCTCCTTCATATCCATACACCTACGCATACATACTCGTCGGTTAAGGGTACTCCTAATTTGGCCCGTTTTCAATAAATCGCCAATTTGGTCGATAAATTTTCGCCTAGGACGTCCCTTTTCGACTCTGCCATTCACTTCTGCACCATAAATTTTCTTTGTCACTCTTTCCTCATTCATTCTTTCCACATGACCAAACCACCGAAGCATTCCTTTCTTAATCCTGGTCACAACATCATCTTGCAAACCACACTCTTCTCTTATTACACAATTTCTTACCCTGTCGTTCAGATTCAGCCCTAACATACTCCTTAACGACCGCATTTCTACTGCGTTGATTCTACTCTCGTGCTTCTTCTACCACATCCAACTTTCACTACCATACGTTAAAGTAGGGACCAACACAGCATTGTGAATTGCCATACGTGCCAGGTTAGTTAGTTATTTAGATTCTTCCTTTCGTTTCTTAAGTCTATCCCTTGTCCAATAATAAATTAATTCCTTTTGTTGAAATAACATCCTTAATTTCCTGGTTTCATAGTTATTTGCATGGACGCCGGCAAAGAATTCGTGTCCACGATAGACTTACTTCGTGGTTTGATACCGTACCTGGCGTTCCGCAAGGCGGCGTCTTATCTCCTCTTTTATTCATAATCTTTAGTAGTACGATTACATTCCAAATATCTTCCCTCTACTACTTGTTTGGAGATGATCACCTAATATATTTACAAACTATACCATTAAGATCTTGCTAAAGCAGTTGAATATATCAAGAAGGATCTGGAATATATATACGACTGGAGTCGAATTGATATCACCGAGGAGCAACTTAACAAACTTGAGCAACTCCAAAATGTCTATATACGGTTAATATTTGGGCTTCGTAAATACGACCATGTCACAGAATACATTACTTCTACGTGGTAGAACCTGGTGCAGTTATGGTTGTAGCATGAATGGGTAGACTCGACCGGAGAAGGACCACGCTCTCATAGAATACCAGTGTGGACATAGACAGATAAACCTATAGACTAATGATTAGCGTGGCCTCGAGTGAGAAAGGATGATAACGTAGTTTTAGGTTATACAATAATCTTTATGACTTTTAAACATAATTAGATAAAACTTTTAATTGTTCTAAGAACTGAACTGAACAAGATTCACCAATCTTAAGCTCACAAAACACTTTTTTCTCACTTAAACCAACTTGTAAACTCCTTAGATCGCTACGAACTGTCAAAGTTGTACAAGAGAGTTTCAAACAAAAAAACCGGCACTAAGAAAGGGACAAACAATCACACCACTCTGTCCATTTCTATGCAAGACGTATGCATAAATCTATCTTTTTCGTGTGCGAATGCGAAAGAAGGCATCAATTTGTCTATAGGTTTCTCTTTCTACGAGTGTGAATGTAGTGTAAGTGCAGCAGTGTAATGCTGCTGTGTTTCGTATGGTGAGTGTAGAGAACCGGAGACCCTTCTTTACTGGAAACGTGACATGCCCATCTTAGTCCTCAGAGTTGACACAACATCTGCATTTTGATTCTTAAGCGAGTTGTAATGTGTCTATAGACCATAGCCGCCACCTACCATTAGGTGGACTGAGTGTTTGTTTGTCACACAATTCTATTTAAAAAAAACTAGTGGCTCCTAATCCGTCTTCGTCGGAATACTCGTATTGTTTCTATCCTCTATTGCATCATTTTAATATATAAAGTCCTCCCGATCTAAAAGAACGTTTTAGATTGCTAGATCCTGTCATAATTTTTTCTTAAGGTCTAAGAAAAATTTTCACTCCAATGTCCTGTGCACTCCTCTACATTTTATGATAAATAACTGTTCAGGTACAGTTCGGTGTTCTACAACGATATCCCTTACAATTAAACATAGCTTACGCAACGCCTAATTATCATTACAGCCCTTCACAAGTCCACTGCTGAACATAGGCCTCCCCCAAGGAATGCCACAATATAGACTTCGCTTAACAGTACGAGGCTGCAACTCGAGAACCTTTCTTCCCCATCGCTTGTCGGTTCTAGCTATATAGCTGTCTCATTGCCATATGCGTACTGGTGTAAATAATCTCTGCTAAAAGATTATCGATGAGTGGTGGCGACATAAGAGATTCTATCACCCTAGCCGTCCTGTGGAATAAGTAGGAGGCGACTGTGGCATAAGACAGAAAAATTTCATGGCCTCTCATAGATGGTGGTATACCATCTAGTGTGTACTACTACCGTAAAATACCAACACTATCGATGACCATAGAGTATGATACCAGAGAGTAATACCAATACAATTTGAAGGTCACAACATTTTCTAACTTATTGTCTAAGTTATCCCTTACAACACCCACGGGAGGAAATACGGTGATGGTTTCTATTATACCGTCAACACCTGGCAAAAAATGTGAAGTTTATAGCCTATGTATGTCCCACGACAGGCCTCTTGTTAATTCTAAGAGGGTTGCTCAGAAGAACCCACCGCGTGACCAGTTGAGGTGTTGAATTTCAAATGTCTTTGAAATATCTTTTAAATTCTCAGACTTGCAAGTTACCTCACGATTCCTTTACCTCCACCTCCACCGAAAAATCAGCACAAAATTGCAATTAAAAATGTTATTTGTGCCTGTAGGGCAATTTTGTGTTCGCTGAAAATTGGTTTGCTTCTGCACTCACCTTCACTCTCCTGTCCACTTCCTCCCGCTTCACCTTCTCCTTCCGCGCTCGGAAAGGCGCCCGACCCTCTATCATTTCATACACTAAACACCCAAACGAAAACCAGTCCGGGCTGAATGTGTAGCGTTCATTGTCTATAACCTGAAAAACAAATGTTTTATTCTTAAATTGATCTTCCTTTATTATGATTTTTTTAATTTTTCGCGAGTAGTACACAAAGTTTACATATTTTATCGAATTTAATTTAAACTTTAGTCACCTCCCCCCATTTTATTTACCACACCCATGGTCCCAGAGTCCTATGGGTGTAGTATAGGGTCTGAAACGTCGAGAATGACAAAGTTTAAATTAATATATAAAATAAGTAATTGTGAACACAGTACCAGGAGCTGCAAAACAGCGCTATTTTAGGTATGTTGTAAATATGGACAAGAGTATTAGAGGACTACTAAACATGTATCTTAACTAGAACATAGAACACAAATAAATAATACTTTATTTTCACTTTGTACTTTCTTTTTGTTACGAAAGCCAGTTGCGTATAACATGAGAATGTTTCCGACGATAAGAAATCAATAGCATCTGTCAAGTAATAAAATGTGTAGGCATAAAAATAGATAACACTCATACTATTGATGCGAGCAAGAAGTAACCTTTTATACCTGCGTTTATAAAGCCTTTCCTCCATTGGACATTGTTATCGTCGTGATCGCGAGTGTTCTAGTACAATCCAGTTGAAAGAGTGGAATGACCTGAATTGGCCTAGAAAGTTCTAGTCCTCTTATCGAGTATCAAAGCGTGTGCTGGCGATCAGAGTTGATTATTTCGGAAACGCGAAAGTGAATTCTAAAATACACCCATTTCTCATCCTTATTGGCATTTTTACGAACCCCGCTTGTAACAATATATTTTATTTATTCACAATATATTTTATTTATTCAATACAAGGTGGCAACCTTAATGAGGGTATCCATAAACTTTACCGACATCAGGGCGGCGCCGCTAACGAACACGGTGAATAATTGACAGATTTTACAGCGGGGGAAGTTCGGAAAATGTAAGTATTTTTTTTTAATATTATATTAGATTAGAAATGGGTAAACCAAACTATGGACAAACCATAAGAAGAAAAATAAAAAAGGGAATAAAATGTTTCAGAAAATTAAAAATCAAACCACTGAGGCATTGTTTTGTGTGTTTACTCACTGTAGAAACCGACATAAACTTTTTGAAAACGCAATTTTTGAAATTATAATGACATTGTGTAACAAATAAATTTAACTTCACCTCACTCTCAAGTAACGTAACGACATCTTTATTACGTGGTGGCACCACGTTGCAGTCATATAGCGTTATAGCACGAATAGGTTGGCTCGACTGGGAAAGAACCACGCTCTCACAGGTTACCAGCGTAAAATAGCAATTTAATGCTGCTTGCTATATTTTGTATGGTGAGTGTGGAGGATTGGAGACGCTTTTGACTGGAAACGAGGCATTTCATCTTTGTCCTCAGGGGAGACTATGCATCTGCATTTTGATTCTCAATCGAGGATAGATGTAGATCTGTATGGGCTACAGTATCCACTTACCATCAGGTGGACAGTATGCCCTATGTTATCCTTATTATATATAAGAAACAAGTAGTGAGCTCAAAATGATTAGGGCTGGTTGCACTTCGGGCGCCATGTAGCCAACGGTGCCGAGCGGCGGTGCGCTGCGCACGCTGCCGCCGTCGGGCACGTCCACCGCCAGCCCAATGTCTGAAATGCGCACGTGCCCCGCGTCGTCGAGCAGGATGTTCTCTGTATGTTATCTGGCGGCTCACCTCGGGCGCCATGTAGCCGACGGTGCCGACGCGGCCGCGCACACTACCACCGTCGGGCACGTACACCGCCAGCTCCAGGTCTGAAATGCGCACGTGCCCCGAGTCGTCCAGCAGGATGTTCTCTGTATGTTATCTGGCGGCTCACCTCGGGCGCCATGTAGCCGACGGTGCCGAGGCGGCCGCGCACACTGCCACCGTCGGGCACGTACACCGCCAGCCCCAGGTCCGAGAACTGCGTGCCCCGCGTCATCCAGCAGGATGATCTCCGTAAGTTATCCGTATGTTATCTGGCGGCTCACCTCGGGCGCCATGTAGCCGACGGTGCCGACGCGGCCGCGCACGTGCCACCTTCAGGCACGTCAACCGCCAGCCCCAGGTCTTAGATGCGCACGTGCCCCGCGTCGTCCAGCAGGATGTTCTCTGTATGTTATCTGGCGGCTCACCTCGGGCGCCATGTAGCCGACGGTGCCGACGCGGCCGCGCACACTGCCACCGTCGGGCACGTCCACCGCCAGCCCCAGGTCTGAGATGCGCACGTGTCCCGCGTCGTCCAGCAGGATGTTCTCCGGCTTACAGTCTCTGCAATACAACAACAACTAACTTAACCACACCCTAGTCACTCAACGCGACTTCTAACTATCCGCAGTTGGACATACATCTCATCCATTTTAAGGAAAATTCGCCATTACAATTTGTATACTTTAAATCTATTATAGCATAAACTTATAATATATAAACTATACTATAACCTTATACTATATTGACAACAATATGATGTATCACTGCTAAAGTGTTTTACAGAAATTTATTTATTTATAACAACAAAATTAGATTTAATTTCAAACACGCAAAATACGCCCTTGGACATGGATTTGCGGTTGCGGTTAACAGCCCGTCATAAACCAATGGCGAAGCCTCCATAAAAGCCGAGAAGCCGGGCTTGCCCTATCAAACTGCTCAATCAATAATATCAACTCATAAAATAACACGTAAACTGTTTCAAACTATTTCAAATTTCCCGCGCGCTCCTCTGTTCTACACAGGTCATGACCTCGTAATCTTATTATATAACGTCAACATTTGGCAGATTGCTTTCAATGTATGTCAATATATTATACGTATTCGAAATACACTGATTCGTGTTCTCTATGTTTCAAAGCGAACATGCAATGGACGGTGGATACTGCTGTCATAAAAAAGGAGTTGAGCGATTAGTCGTCTCTCTCGCACGCGTGGGCTTTTTACCGGGCTTTCGAGAAGACGATCGCTCCCTTTCTAACCTGTGGCAAAATGTTCTATAATGAAATATAACTACGATTGTTTATATAGCAATTAGTATGAAACGATAAGCTGGGTTTTCGGTGCGAAATTAGTCGAGCGCGGGGGTGCGCGGGCGTTACGTTTGCAAGTTCACTTCACAGTTCAATGTTTACTCTGTGTGTTTACTTGAGCGAATGAATATTGCGAGTTGAAAATTTATGCTTTAAAAAAATAGTGAAAATGGAGAATAACAGTGTTCCTTGTGATGAATTGAAGTGTGTTAAAGTGCTAATTGGCGAAGAAAAAGTAAAATCTATAAACTTTGTTGAGAAAAAACAGATCTCGCCGAAACCAACGCCTGATCTGTGCATTTCTCAGACGAGTAAAACACACAAATGGCAACTTAATAGATCTGTTGTGTGTTAATTTGATACTGTTTGTGTAAAACTCATCGGATTGTTGGCTGCTCACATACCAATAAATTGTACTGTTGGTGCTGCATATTCTTTTCCAACGACAAAACAACTTGGAATACTACTGGATATGATTTAAATAACTTATCTGGAGCCATTTAAAGGCATATGAATTCTCAAAAACACATGAATGCGGTAATTTCGTATAGTAATTTTGGAAAAAATCGGATTGAAACATCTTCGTCGCGCCAGTTATCCGAGGAAATTACAAAACACAACATTGTCAACGTTACTTCTATAAAAGAGCGCTATAATAAAAACATCTCTTGCCACCATATGATAGGAAATGTTGATATAATAATTATTATTAGTATGAAGTTACCTGTAAACTATGCCCATCTTATGCAAATGTTCCAGCCCGCAGGCAACTTGCGCCGCGTAGAACCGCGACCGTTCCAGACCGAGACCGGTGTCCGCTCCGCACATGTTGTAAATGTGAAACTTTAGGTCCCCACCTGCGTTAAGAGATTTTATAAAGTATTAACACTGACAAGGGCACAACAATTTCCACTTATGCTTAGTGATTACTGCAACCTATAATTAGAGATGGGCCGAATATGGATTTCACCGAATACGAATGTTCGGTAAAACTTTTGCCGAATGCAATATTCGGCAGAACGTTATTTGACAAGTTCACCTTGGTACCTAACCAATTTGTGTCGAAACTTGTTACCGCAAAGCGCGTGGCATGATATGTTATTGCATCATCTAGTAGGTACTGAGCAAATTACCGGCACATGCTTATGTTTTGACTATTTTATGAGAAAAAAAGTATTTCGTTGCGTTATTCTTAGTGAAAATTGATAATTATATGATAAAAATTAGTGGCAGGAGATCTACTATTTGTACTGATTTTAAAGAAATTGACGACCAAAGTAAAGTGAAATAATGTAATGTAATGTTTCTTTGTTTGATTCCAAAAACATTTAATCAAGCTTTCTATTTGCTATAAATGGAAATAAATCTACAGTGCTACAAAAACATAACGCTATACAAGTATATTTAACTCATAAATAAAATATACTTAACAGTAAAATTATGAACGACAGGGCATTACTCAATTCGTACATTTCAAATAAAGTGGTATTACCACTTAAAAGAATGTTCGGTGATTTAGCCCAAAATTCGGTAAAGCTGCCGAATATGCCGAATACCGAATTTGAAACGAATATTCGACCCATCTCTACCTATAACACCTACAAAACAACCAAGCAAAGAAGGCACTGATGCGTTGCCACCTATGAAGATTAATTCGTCAGAATTTGAAGTTGGAATAGGTCTTAGTTTTAATAAAACAATCTCTTAATGTCCAAACCAGAACACCATGGACGCTTAGCAATAGAAGAAGCGAAGATAGTGCTAACTATCCAAGCGATAATCTAGGCAGAAAAGAGTCTACTATGTTGCTGGGCCGCAGTAAGAGATTTGCAAAAGTCGTCAAGATCTTTTCTTGTTTTCCTTCACCCAATCTATAGTTTTTTTGGGTATTTCCCTAAGTTAACTTTTTAGTCCAGCTAAGCCACCTAGTGGAGATAAGAGCTTTACCGCAAAAGCATCATACTTAAAACATCCATTTGAATGCATTAATTACGTCACACATACATTTTATTATCAACGATTGTCTTGTACTTATTTGTTTAGTGACAACTAAAATATACACGCCGACCAAGGCAATTAGACTAACAGACTTCCCATCTGCATTCCAAATCTGGTTTTAGCTTTATCATAGTATAATGTAATCTATCATCATATCATCGATTTCTATGACTGACGTCACGTTTGAAAGTCATCTATTCGGCTTGGTCGTATCATCGTTGTTAAAAACAAAACGTTAAAGTTTATTCAAAATAATTACAGGGTCGCTATGCTCTGGAAATGTTATTCTCGGTTAGAATTTACTATACTAATAAATTAAGTAGATTTATCTTTTGGTGTTTATTATAAGTTTAAATAATAATTAAATAATAAACAATAAAAAAAAATTATTGTTTTAACACAACCATTATGACAATAGTAATGTGGAAGAAAATCACCGGCAATTATTCTCTTTTAGATTATATATTCATACATATGAAACTGAAATTCTTAATAAGACCCCTATTGATTTTAATAGGATAATGTGGTTCACACAAGGACTTGCAAATATTTAACTCTGTTCTTATTTGACCCGATCGCTACGTTTTTATTTAAATATTTTTCTAATTTAAACTGCAAGAACAAAAATTTTGTTTACAAAACAATTACTATAAACTTTTAAAATCAGTAGCATGTATTAGATACAACAAATAAAGTACATATTCAATTGTTAGTCACAGACATAATATACATAATATAAAAATTATTTAAATAAAATTAATAGGAAAATCTTCAAATATTTAAATTTTCTTTGTAAAAATATAAGACCATAAGCTTTATTCTTACGACCCAGTATCGATTGGGTTTTGGAACACACTGTAACACTTATTCAACTGACCATCATCAGAGTGGATTCCTAAAGATGGAAAACCGCTTCGTTGTCTGTGGAAAGTACAAAAGATAAAAAAATATGCCGTAAATAAAAATATTTTAATAGAAAATTATATAGGTATTCAATTTTAAATTTGAAGAAAAATTCCACCCTAAAGGTGAAGAAATAGGAGAGAAGTTTTTATTGAAACGTTATACGATGTACTAATGTTATTATCTTGAGCTCAATATCACAAGCTAAGGTCACATCTATAACAACTTAGTACACTAAATAAAGTCTAATAATAAAACTTTAAATGAAATAATAGGTTTTCCCGTGACGGTTCTTTGAACGATGTCATCCGAAGAGGTCTTGTCTCTATAAATATTCCCTCGGTTTTAGAGCCTTGTGGAGTATTTAGACGATGGCAAGAAACCCAACGGTATGACAACGGTAGGAACCACAGAAATCATAATAAATCAGACAATAGAAATGAATTAGCGCTCGATTACTTCCAAAACCGATGTCGCCCCATCTTACCGTAATATAAACATACGCAATGCACAATGATATCTAATGTTTCTTATTACATTGCTTGCTTCAAGAGTTTGTCAACGTCGCGTGTTCGCGTATTACGGTAGAACAAAAGCAGCAATCGGTAATTGTACAATACGAAAAGTAATAAATGAGTTTGCAAAGGCAAATGTCATAGTAAAGTATTCATCTAGATGTAAATTAATTAAAACAATAATAATTAATAAATAATCAACTTACTGATGAAATGTTACGCCTTTATTAGTTTAATTACACGTCCTTGATGAGTTTTTACAACTGATTATGCTGCAGTGCACCATTATAAATTTATAATAATAAAAATTCACGTACGACGTTCCCCCCACAACTAAATCACAAAATAGTGAATTATGTTCGTCAATCCATATAAGCGGCGACAAGGTCACGCGTCTATGCGACTGCTATTGTCTTATTATTACAATTTCTGTGGTAGGAACTAATTCCTTGAGAGAGAGGTAAAGCCCTAGTGTGGGATGCTACTTGCGTAGACACTTTGGCAACCTCTATGTCAAGGGTACCTCGCGTAAGAAATCGGGGCGGCATCAGAGGCATCAGTCGAATTAAAGTGGCGCAAATATGAGTCTCTGAAAAATGACTACAAATTTTTGCCATTTTTTGTTCACGTGCGCTGAAGTTCCTAAAGGAACTGTATCCACGACCAACAGGGTTGTTTCTTTTCTCGTTCAAAGGCTAAGTATAGCCATACAGCGATTTCAGCGTGTATGATAAATTTAGGTTTTTAGTTTTTTTATTATAGTTTTTAATATTGTAATATTTTAATCTTATGTAAATAAATGTTTTGAACTTCAAAAAAAGTGTCCTCATAATTTATTAGATACTGAAGTGGGCGTTAGGGTGTTACCACACCAATCGAACGATCGTCGATAAATGGCACTTAATGCATTATTTATAATGGCATTATTTGAACACCTGGCCCGCTCCACTGATCGCTATGTAAAATATCGTCTAGATGGATTTAACCCTTCAATTCCCGTAAAATCCCATGCAGTCGCATGCATTCGTCAAATCCCGAGCGGTCGCATGCGACCGTACCCATCCACAGCACTTTAAATCATTAAAACTTTTATTTAGAGACTACTTTTCCGACCCTTATATAAGATATAGTGTATGGCATAATTAAAGCCCCTACTTCTGAAATATTAAATTATGAGGAAATTATTGTTTTTACTGTTTTGAAGTTTGCTTTACTTTTTTTAAATTTTAATTATATTATTTTAACCGCGATCAAAATAAAATCGCTACGCCAGCTCAAGAAGTTTATTTTTAACAAACTAATCATCACATTTAAATTTTTGACAAAAACTAGTAACCATCATATTTTATACAAAGATTACAAAGACCAGACAAATTTTCGAATAAAATTTGCTGTTGATTCTAGAAAAAAAATGCCTTATAATAACTAAATTCCATCAGTTTAGGGGCGAGTTCACTAAACATGGATACTCACCATTCATAATCGTGAGAACGAGACAGAGTGCGTCTTTCGTCTCGTACGCGTACGCGAGGTTCACAACGAACCGCGAGTTGATCCGCTGCAGTATCTGCTTCTCGATCAGAACCATCGCTTCTCCCTTGCGCTTTTTTATACGTTTCTTTTCCAGTTTCTTGCACGCGTACATTTTACCCGTTGCCCGGACCTAGAATAAAAGAGAACTGAAATGAAATATATATACTTTTCCAATTTCCGTTTGTCATTTATTTTAAGAAACTGCGGAAGGAACTTTGCAGGACCCTCTTTTTGTGAATTTTTTAACCGACCTAATTCAATAATTTAGTTTTTTTAATTTTAAAACAAGAACCATCGGTAACTACAAATAAAATGGGTTACACTTTTGTAGTTGTGGCGTATGTATGTATCCACTTCACTGCTCTCTCGCGAGTGTCGTACGTTCTTCACTACTGCAAAATCCATTCAGAAATGAGAGATAGATCGACCACAGATTGTCATAGTTGCCACACTTCGCTTGCGGGTTCGCAACTGCAGTTAATTGCTATCAGAAAAGCGCTGCTGCCTATCTCCCATATCCTTCTGTGTTGCCATTTACGGCACCCACAGGAAGATATGGGGTAGTGCATTACACAGAATACTATAATACATACATAATAGAACGGGGGAGTGGGCGGAGCCCGTGTAGCCACTAAAATGTCACTAACACGTCAATTCACACGTATAAATGTCAACACGAGATGTGTTTTGACGTTACAATCGTTTCCAAATTTCGCATGCAAATTATTTAGAAAATGCCAAATTGCACGCTATATACAAATAAATACGTATTGAATAAAATTATTATTTACGAACTTTATTAGATACTTTACCACATGGTATTCTTTTGTTCCTCACGGGTCTTACATATCTTGTTGACCTTAACAAAAGGTCAAACAAAAAGATCTATAAAAACCCGCGTGAAGGAACATATAGCTGACGTAAAGCACCGACGCTCCGGGAAGTATGCAGTCTGCGAACATGTTCAAGATCGTCCCTACCATTACATTCGATTTGATAAACCACAAATCCTCGCAAATGAACACCGATTCCTACCAAGGATGATACGCGAGGCTATTGAAATTAAAAAACATCCAAATTTCAATAGAGAAGATGGATGGGTGCTGCCACCTACTGGAATCCTATAATTAACAACAAATTAAAACCAAACCCAAGCATACCACTGCAAGACTTCATGATACTATAAGCTCGTTTTGCGTAAATCGGACCAAAAATTAATATTCAAAAACTGAAGGTAGCCGGACTAACTATGACATTGGGACGTCAAACATCTCAGTCCCCCCCGTGACCATGGGCGCTGTAAAGCACCCGAAACGTCGGGATAGTAAATATAAATAAATTAAAGAGGGTAATTAAACGCGATAAAATTCGTAAATAATAGTTTTATTTAATGTGTAGTGTTCGCGTAAATTTAAGAAATCATTAAATAAATATGTATTAAAATTTAAACTATTTTTTTAATGATGATCTTGAACATTTATCAAAAGTCTAAAATGTGTAAATTTATTTTGTCTGTCAACACAGCGAATCGGGTTTAGCAACGCCCAACCTCGTACAAAATAAAGTTGACAGCCATTCTATTGTGTATTATAGTATTCTATGGCGCATTATCATATGCCGCCACTGCAGGTAATTACTTATATTGATATTTTTAGATGACTTTAATTAGATTGTTATTAGTTATAAGGCACTGTGGGGGTACACCACACAGTAGTGCACTTGCTGGGCGAGGTATATAATTACAGGTTAAACAGCAAAAACTCCATCCAAGTCCTTATACCGTAGCCTTTAAAGATGTTAAAAATAATTATTGAATAAAACTAATTTTAAGGATTTAATCGCGTTTAATTTTTTAAATCCCATCAAAGCCATGGTCCCGAGGCAAAGGCTACTTTCAATTATTAATTTTTGGTCCGATCTACCTAGCTCGTAAGCTTATAGTATGTTGAAGTCTTGCAGTAGTATGTTTGGGTTTGGATTTAATTTTGGTAGCATGCAGCCATCTTCGCTATTGAAAATACCACTTGACCATGGGTGCTAGAAAGTGCTTACGAGTACTAAGTGAAAACGTCGGGAATTAACAAAGTAAAAATTAAACGCGATAAAATCCGTAGTTTTATTACATATGTAGTATCGCGTAAATATAAGAAATCAAAAATTAATTAGTTAAGATATGTCTTACCTAACTAGTTTGAAGAGCACCTCCCACCCTGCCTCCCCCCGAGCGAGAAAAAGGTAGTAGTAGTGTTTCTTTTCTACACTAGGAAAGACACACTACTACTACCTTTTTAAAAGACAAGAAACGCACCTGCAATTCCCCTACAGTTGCTCATGGGCGGCGGTAATCACTTACCTTCAGGTGAGCCATATGCTCGTTTGCCCATTCTCCTATAAAAAAAAACTTCTACGTTTGATGTGTCTTTCCTAATGAATGTAACTGTGACTAAGTTTGTTCTGTTTGAAAAGTTTAACGTTATTTATTTAGGCAGATCGTAGCTAATAAATTTTTACATCTTTAGTATAATGGATAAACGCAAAGTAACACCTTTCTTTTAATTGTTTAGAATTTGCTACGTTAATAATGTCGAAACACAGCTAGTGTGTTTAGCAGTTGTGAGGTTACCTGACAAGCGCAGACCTCTCCGAAGCCGCCCTTCCCGAGGACCCGGTACATGCGGAAGGTGTGCTGCGTGACCGGCTGCGCCTCCAGCCACTTCCACTGCAGGTAGCGGTGGAAGTACATCGAGCGTTCGAACTCCGCGAACGGAGTGCCCGCGAGAAAGTTCTTCACGTAGCGCACGCATTCACCGAAGATGTCTTTCGAGCCGCCTGGAAATTAACGTCATCACCATTTTTTTTAAAACTGAAGTGACCCATAAACTCCACCACCTGATGGTAAGCAGCCAACTTCAAACAAAGAACGCTACAGATGCGTTGTCACCTCTGAGGACTACATAAAATGTCTTACGGCCCATAACTATACTGGCTCCCCATATCCTTCAGACAGGAACACAGCAGTGCAAGTAGGGTTGCCAGGTCTTAAAACTGAAAAGCCGGACAGAGCAGCTAGTTTAGCCGGATATTTTGGTAAAAAGGCCGGACATTTAATGTTTTAGTCTTAGTATAACATGACAATTTTTTTAAAGTAGATCATTGCTTTTATCATTTAACATAAAATCTTCTTAAATTAAATCCATAAATCAGTCTTCTCTATTATTAATCATTCAATATTCATTACAATATTAATTTTAATAATTGTTATAGTATACATTTGAGTACATGAAAAATATGAACAAAATGGTCATATACATGTACTCAAATGCATACTATAACAATATATTTAATAATTGTTATAGTATACATTTGAGTACATGAAAAATATGAACAAAATGGTCATATATAAAAAACCTAACAAAAGCCGGAAAGGCCGGATGCCGTCTAATTTGGCCGGACACGCAGCTAAAAAGCCTGACTGTGTCCGGCTTTATCCGGACGCCTAGCAACCCTAAGTGCAAGCAGGTCTGTTTAGCGGCAGAAATATTTACTGGTAGCTGCCGCCTATGCGGAATCCTAGGCAAATGTATAAGGCGACACCGCGAAAATATCCACCTCCCTTCATCGAATAGTATAGTATAGGACCATGACACCACTAACGAAACTGGAAATTTGATAAAGGTAAATTCATTTATTTATCAGGAATTTGCTTGTTCAAAAACATGATTGTATATATATTTTGACTCGATCATAATTATTTGCAAAAACACCTCTAAAAATCACTATATTTGAAATTACAACGAAATTACTTAATAGTGTTTGGGAATCACTCAAATACATTCATAACATCAATATTTGTAAATACTTGCTCATTATTTCGATTACTTAAATCAATTTTTTTTTTAAATATTTTAAGATTCTAACAATTTCTAAGCGGTCTTAATCGTCGCGGGCGCTACGCAATTTTAGACCTTATGACGGCGTTTTTTTTTTAATTTTTTATAGAAATTATGTATTCACTCAATTATGTACTCACTGATTGCCCGGAGCCATTTTAAACGTTCATTTTCGATGTATCTTTTTAAGACGGTTCCCCTAGCGAGAGACCTTGAGCGTTCGGTCCCATACAATCCACGCGCTCTCGCTACAATATATCACGGAAAAATACGCCCGTATATTTGGAATTATTTCAATTAAAAGAGATAAGCGAACTTAAGAAATTAAATAAAACGTATAAAAAATAGATTTTTAAATTATCTATCCATTAGTGTAATTCTCAAATGATTAGAGCATTTCCTTTAGAATAATGTGCTTTTAGATGTAGCTTATTTCTCATAACTAATGAGATAATAGTCTCTGAAAAACGCACTTTTGCCAGGTTTTGGTCAGGGTAGCGCCTTAAGGTGGCCCTAGTCGATGGCACGAACTAAGTGGTAAGCGGTATTAAAATGCATGCTATCTCAGCCGACATCACGTGCGAAAGCGAAAGGCATGATGATTTACAACAAAACGAGCGCGCGAAATTTTATAAACAGACCTTTGGGAATCTGGATATCATGAAAAATCTATTGAATGTATCTGTTCAAAATAAAATTATTTGCACTTTTGAACACCTAGTTTATCCCTGTATGGTAACTGTTTTGCAATTTTCATTATTTTTACGGTATTTATTTCCGCCCAAAGATGTGTTAAAATAAGTACTTTTAAATATATTCTTTTTTTTTACTTTTTTGTTTCCATACAGGGCTAGATAATGGTGAGACAAATTGAAATATTTTTTATTTTTAACGTATAACATCAAACAGTTGAGTAATCGCCAGACTACGTTTGTATGGAAGAATGAGTGACTAGTGTACCCTTAATGGTAAATGTTTGTCTTGTTTTATTGTCAACACAAGAAGAGCTCATTCTTCGAGCTTTCTACCCAGGAGTCAGCCTGTGTTTGCACCACCCATTATTCCTAACAGGTCGTCACAAATCCAGTGCTTGATAAAGGTCCTCCCCAAAAAACACATACCAGCATACATTGCAGCACAATAACTGCTGCGTTACGAAAGGTGAGCGGCGAGACCCGGGCACTTTCTTACTGGAAACGAGGCATTCGTTATAAGTCCTCAGAGGCGACAAATGCTTCTGCATTTTGATTCTTCATCAAGTATAAATATCGGTTAAAATGAGCTACGTATCCACTCACCGTCAAATGGACAGTGTGCTTATTTTTTGAAAACGCAGCCTAATATAGTACTTTGAGTAAGTGAACATTGAATTATTAAGGAAAAAAGTTACAGCCTATATACGTCCCACTGCTGGAGCACAGGCTTCCCCTCATTTCTGAGAGGGTTTTTAGGGCAGGGAAGTGTCCGTCGTGCTGCCCCAATGCGTGTTGGCAAACTTCACATGTCTTCGAAATATTTTTTTCTTATAACTGAGGCATGCAGGTTTCCTCACGATGTTTTTCTTCACCGCCGAGCACGTGGTAAATCAGCACTTAAAATTGCAATTAACAATTTCATTGGTACCGGCGGGGATCGAACCCGGGCTACTCGCGTACTGTGATATTTACAACGAACGTTAACCATCTGACCTATCACGGCTCTTGAATTAATACATAAAGCTAAAATTGTTTCCATTAAATATTTTCAACAAAATACTATTGAATAAATACGGAAAGTTCCGTTAAGGATTTACACAATAATTAAAACATACACAATTATTGTTAAAACAAATGCGATAGTAAAAAGTAAGTACAGCATTTATAATATAGTTGTCACACTCTTACTTCAATAAAAATAGTCGGCGTGTCTGTTGTGGTCCCAGTTGGCCATGAGAACATAAAAACAGCATCACAGGTACTTACCATCAAGAAGCACATAGGTACTTACCATCAAGAAGCTCGCTCGCGTCGTCGACCACCGAAGCGGCTACCACATCGGTGACGGCCTCACCGTCCTCCGTCTTCAGGTACCTCCCGAACACCTCCGCGGCGAGGGCGACCCGCGTCTCGTCCACCCCCACTTCGTACCGATCCACCTGGGAACAAGCGAGCTTTTTCTGGTTTATGATCTGGCTCTGAATTAGCCAAGCGAAAAAAATTTAACCTTACCACCCAATCCGTTTCAGTCTAGCAAGTCCACTCTGAACATAGGCCTAGAGGGTTGCCGCCCGTACTATAATATTTAGTATCGTACTAATATTTAAACCCATAGAATACAATAATACATACGTAATAGAACGGGGGAGTGGGCGGAACCCTTGTAGCCACTGAAATGCCACTAACACGTCAATTCACACGTATAAATGTCAACACGAGATGTGTTTTGACGTTACAATCGTTTCGAAATTTCCCATACAAATTATTTAGAAAATGCCAAATTGCACTCTATTTAAAAATAAATATGTATTAAAATCCATCTGTCAACATAGCGAATCAGGTTTGTAGTAGTGATTAAGTAATGCTCCCGGCGACGCCTACAACTCGTACAAAATAAGGTTGACAGCCATTCTATTGTGTATTATAGTATTCTATGTTTAAACCAATTGTACTATATTATATTATAGAAAAATGATATACTTAGTACGAAAAATACTATATTTTTATCCCTAATTCAAATGTCCTTTTTATATTAACTGTGATTGTAAGTGTGGAACAAGTAAGTTTTACGGAAATAATTTTTTTACATCAGGAGTGTAAAATAGAAAGAAGAAAGAAATAGAGCATGTATTAATCTAATAAAAATGAATTGTTAATTTATTTTAATATAAATCTAAATTGCTCAGATTCCATAATTATTTTAAAGGTCGTTGACGGCCACAGCGAGGAGTAATAACAAATATATATGGAAAAACACATAAAGATTAAAATAAATGTGTAGTTTTTTATTTCCTGAATTTCTCAAATGTAGTATATTTTGCATCTTTTTTTGAGAAAAATACTATATTTGTTCAAAAAAAGGTGGCAACCCTACATAGGCTTCCCCCGTAGATCGAATTTTGACAATGCAATTCCGCTGGTGTTGCATCATAGCTTACCTTACTTATCATCAGGTGAGCCTGCTCTTTTGCCCCACGTCGAGGGTTGACAACCGCAATTTTCTTTATTTGTTTTTAATCTCCGACGAAAAAGAGTGGTGTTATAAGTTTGATCGCTATGTACGTCTGTCTGTGTTGCTCTTAAACTGGTGAACAGAGTTAGTTCGGTTCCCTTTGCCTTTTTACTGTCTTTGTCTTTTTATTACCCATTACATGGAATGGTATGGGGTAATGAATATTCTTATACCGCCACTATATGATCAACAGGCACGCAAGGGCACATACACATAAAAACACCAAAATACGTATGAACACGCACGCTTTGCTTTGTAAAAGTCTCCTTTAATTTTTTTTAAGATAGGGTGACAAACGAGCACACAGTCCACCTGATGGTAAGTGGTTGCTGTGGCCCATAGACATCCACATCTATCTTCGATTACGTTGTCACCCGTGAGGACTAAGATGGAATGCCTCGTTCCCGATAAAAAGGGTCTCCGGTTCTCTACACTCACCATACGAAACACAGCAGCATCAAGCTACTGTTTCACGCTGGTATTCTGTGAGAGCGTGGTCCTTCCCCGGTCGAGCCGACCCATTCGTGCTACAACTATACTTCTAATATAACTGCAGCGTGGCTCTACCACGTATATTATTAATGCTACTGGGAATTTCACAATTCAATAAAAAATGTAAATTCAAATAGCATAATGGTTCTTATGCGTACGGTGAGGAACGAGAACCGGGGGCCTTATTTCTTTTATTTAAAAAAACTTTACCTTTATTTAATGTATTATTGTCATCGCGCCACAAGCTAAACGCACCGAAGCCTATATCGCGCTATCAAAGTTCCGAATCTGCCGCGCTATTTATATATACAGTTCCAAAACAAAACATGTAGCTTTGGCCGCTTCCGTGACAGAACACCTTGCCTTGCGGGAGATATCTCCCCTTTTCCTTTGTCCCCTACATTGTCGTTGTTGTTATAATTTCGTATTGTGGCAGCCGGTGCGGCGTAAGAAAATCTACTACCGACAGAGTGATACCATGAGGTTAAGTATCCTCGTGATAACAACTCAAAATAATAAAAAAACTGTGGTTCCCGATCGGCCTGCCAAGTGTGGCAACTATGGCGTATGTCCCCTCGAATGGTAATCTATCGGGTAGACCGACGCAAAGCACTGGACTTTCGATATTCCTATAAGGAAAGAAGAATTTTACAGATAACAAAGGGCGGACTCGTATTTTTCTTTATAGAATAAGGATGACTAACCAGCACACAACCACCTGATGGCAAGTGGATGCTGTGGCCCATAGATATCTACATTTATCCTCGATTAAGAATCAAAACGCAGATTCGTGTTCACTCCTGATGACTAAGATGGAATGCCCCATTTCCAGTAAAAACTGGTCCCAGAATATCTACACTCACCATACGAAACACGGCAGTATTAAGCTGCTATTGTACGCCGGTATTCAGTGATAGCGTGGTCCTTCCTCGGTCGAGCCGACCTACGAATGTGCTACTACCATAATATAGCTACAGCGTGGCTCTACCAGGTTCTTTTTTCTTTTTTTTTTCTTTTCACATACAGTAAGAATATAACAATTAGTAAGGTGTAAACATAAACTCTTTTGAGTTTTACCGTACACCCTAAGCCGTCGTTATACATTAATACAGATTAAGACTATTTATAACATATTTGCTACACACTTCATACATCCATACTTAAATAACAAACGTATTCTGTGCCAATGTGATTCTGTATCCTGTGTTGCGTGTTGTGGCGGCGTAAGAATATTCTAAACCCCATGTCATTCCGCGGGTATCGTAAGAATATTCTAAACACCATGTCATTCCGCGGGTATCGTAAGAATATTCTAAACCCCATGTCATTCCGCGGGTATCGTAAGAATATTCTAAACCCCATGTTATTCCGCGGGTATATTAAGAATATTCTAAACCCCATGTCATTCCGCGGGTATAGTAAGAATATTCTAAACCCCATGAAATTCCGCGGGTATCGTAAGAATATTCTAAACCCCATGTCATTCCGCGGGTATCGTAAGAATATTCTAAACCCCATGTCATTCCGCGGGTATCGTAAGAATATTCTAAACCCCATGTCATTCCGCGGGTATCGTAAGAATATTCTAAACCTCATGTCATTCCGCGGGTATCGTAAGAATATTCTAAACCCCATGTCATTCCGTGGGTATCGTAAGAATATTCTAAACCCCATGTCATTCCGCGGGTATCGTAAGAATATTCTAAACCCCATGTCATTCCGCGGGTATCGTAAGAATATTCTAAACCCTATGTCATTCCGTGGGTATCGTAAGAATATTCTAAACCTCATGTCATTCCGCGGGTATCGTAAGAATATTCTAAACCCCATGTCATTCCGCGGGTATATTAAGAATATTTTAAACCCCATGTTATTCCGCGGGTATATTAAGAATATTCTAAACCCCATGTCATTCCGCGGGTATCGTAAGAGGCGACAAGGGGAAGCGAAGCAGGTGATGGGCAGCAGGATCTTTCTAATAATAATAATTAAAAAAAAATTCGTTTGGCAAGCCGTCTGTCAAGCGTAAGCTATGTTCAGCAACATAGATAATATACTATATAGGGCACAGATGAGCCACTCTAACTAATTATTTGGTGACGAAACTAGGGAAGTTTCTTCTGAGCTGTAATAGATGGCGTTGGAATTATAAATTACCGAAAAATACACTAGAGGGCTATCAACTTGCTTCATTATTATTTCGTACATTTTAATAAATAATAGTAAAAGTTCATATAGTTAGAAATTAACTAATTCTCTCAATACAAACTCTATGTGCAATACCTAAAAGAAAACAATTTAATTTTCTAGTAAATTTAATTTATTAGTTCAAACCTAGTTTAATATATATATATATATATATATATATATATATATATATATATATATATACCGCAGTATTTCAAACTTTGATAGTGTGATTTAGGCACCGGTACATAGATAATACATTTTAGCAGTTGTGCCATCTTTTGAGTAAAATGTGTAATAAATAATAGTAGAGAAAATAGTGCTTTTAACGACTGTGAGATGGTGCTAGTATCAACGTAAAAAAGCAAGCTACTGAGGACTTTCATACCCCTGTTGAGCAGTGAAGTTTTAATAAGCTGTAACGGTAATCACACAGCCAATTAAAACACCCAAATAAAGAAAAGACATAATAATAAAAACGCGGTGTTGCGAAGATCTACACATACCGCATCGAGGAAACTGTTGTACTTGTGGTACTCAGGGCGGTTTCGCTCGCAGAACTGCCGGAACAGCAGCTTGCCGATGGGCTGTTGGTCCACCACATAGTCGTAGCCTACATCTGCAACAATCAACACACGACCATTAGTACGACAAGATTTTTATAATTACATAATACCTAATTTTCTTGAACAGGATGAATAAACTGGTCTATACCAAAACAATGAGGGTAGTCAACAGGTCGCCTTAGATGGGTCTGTGACAAGAGTGAATACTGTACAAACCATTGTGCGTTGCCAGTGACTATATTTTTTTAATTTAGTTTTTATTTATTTAAATCAATCCAAGTGTCTACGACACATGAATGGATTCCAAAACGACACATGGGTCTCAGACGTGGTTACTTAGCGAGATTTTAATAGGGCCTACTATGTTCGGAATTTTCCCCCGTGATAGAATTTTTAGTGAGGATATCTGCAGCGGATTCCGAGTAACCGACAAAGACTGTCAGCCGATCTCAAAGAACCTTTAGCCGCTATGTAAGAAAAATTCCCGAGTGACTGCCTAGCACCCGTAAGCAAAGTGTAAACAACCCATTATATGATGTGGCTTGGTAAGACATGCAGGAAGTCGGTGGATCAAGGTGGCTCAGGAGCGTGTTGTGCGGCATTACTTGGGGGAAAGCCTTTCTTCAGCAGTGGACTTGTGAAGGGCAGTACTAATGACAGCGATGTTGATTAGTTGGGTCTTATAATGTTTTCCAGACCAAATTTCGGTCACGTTGGCCAGCCTCAACGGAGACTAACCATCCACGCAGGACAGGATTATAGTGCCCAAGTGTCATGCGCAAGCACAGGCACAAATTCTACTCTCTCAGTCTCATAATCCAATGGGATGGTAAACCGACTCGACCGGAGAGAGATCAGGCGCAAAACCAACGGCTTTACGTGCTCTCCGAGGCACGGGGGTAAGCCACCGCCAACTTCCTGACTCCGGGCAGCTCTACAAATAATTTCTTGACGGAAAAACTCAACAATTAATTTTTGTCCCGACTCGGGATCCGAACCCAGGACCTCATGATTAGCAGTCGCACTACTACAACCACTAGACCAACGAGGCAGTCAGTTGGGTCTTATACAACATGTATGGTCGGTCACAGATTTTCCTTTTCATTATACTCAAACAATACATAAAACCATTTAAAGTCCCTGATATGGCAATAGTATTCATTTATTTTTAGTGTTTCCAAACGTGACTTATGTAATCACCCTATTATCTTGTCTATTTGTGGTACAGAGGTTTTCCTTAAAGACTGTTTTAAATAGATGATTGAAACATGGAAGTTATTGACTGATAAGGTTAAAAATAAAAATTTTATATTATAAGTTTATAGCAACTTCAAAGAACTAAAAACAATAACACTATTTCCACTTAATAGTTTCTCAAGCCGGTGCTAAAACAGTGTATGGAACAATTAAAACCCCCGACTTCACAATTTATTACGTGGACATTTGTTTTTGTAGTCAGGTTTTACTTTCAATTATATTTTTTTTATTTTTAAATGAACTTTTTTATGTTATAATTAAATAATCTTTAATATTTTTTAAGGAATATTTCAAACTCAAATTAACAACTAGAATATTCATTCAAATTTTAAAATTTCCGTTTTAAACTAAATTAATATATTTTTCCGTCATTAAGGATATTTTTTTTAATATTGCGTAAAATACATACAAAATACAGTCGAATTGAGTGCCTACTATTCTATGAATCGAAATCTGTATCAATTTGTCATTTCCTTATCGAACTCTGCAATAACACATTTTGAGATTTGAGATTTATTATCTTTGAACTAAAAATAATGTACACGTCATTAATGCTACTTTTTCCAATTTTATCCTACATACATTTACGAGTATGTATAACACGAAAAACACGAAAAAACGTCGAGATCCAAAAATCACTAGAACATCTCGAGAACATATGCATATACTATATACATATTAACCTTCCGCTTCAATCATTCTGTCTATTGATGAAAACTGCATCAAAATCAGTTACGTAGTTTAAAAGATCTAAGACATTATTTTATTCTATGTACAAGACAACAATAAAAGCCGTGATACCCGTAGCTTAGTTGATAAGAAGCGCCATATTAAAATATCAAGTACGCGAACAAACTGTTCTCGACCTTCGTTGATTTCCATATTGACAATTGATTCGCTATTCTACCGTCATTTAAGATTCTGATAGGTGGTTTTAATAACCATCACGTTTACTCCAGACGTAAAATCTATCCTCTGGTAGATCAAATTTAACTTGGTGGGCAGCAAAGCTACTGACGCGCTCCCGCCACGGGCATCAATTTCTTTTTAAATAATTTACTGTGTTACCGGTTACATAATTGATATTCTTAGTTGAAAATCGCCATGTAATCACAATGCCGGATACCCGCAAGGGGGGTGACGGCTCAGTAGAAACATCCAAAACGGCCACAGGGTAGCGTCAAGGTTTTTTTGTATATAGAATAAGGGTGACAAACGAGCACATTATCAACCTGATGGTAAATGAATACTGTGGTGTATAGACATCTAAATCCATTCTCGATTAAGAATGCAACAAGCATAGCAAGCAGATGCGTTATCACCCCTGAGGACTAAGATGGAATGCCTCGTTTTCAGTAAAAAGGATCTCCGATTCTCTACACTCACCATACGAAACATAGCAGCATTAAGCTGCTATTTCACGATGGTATTACATGAGAACGTGATCCTACCCCGAGCCGAACCAATCGTGCTTTAACCATAATATAACTACAACATAGCTCTACTACGTTAATCAAAATATATATAGCTGCAGAATGGATTTACCACATCAACCATAATATACATAGCTGCAGCATGGCTTTACCACGTCAACCATAATATACATAGCTGCAGCATGGCTTTACCACATCAACCATAATATACATAGCTGCAGCATGGCTTTACCACGTCAACCATAATATACATAGCTGCAGCATGGCTTTACCACATCAACAATAATGTATTATAGCTGCAGCATGGCTTTACCACGTCTACCATAATATACATAGCTGCAGCATGGCTTTACCACGTCAACAATAATGTACATAGCTGCAGCATGGCTTTACCACGTCAACCATAATATACATAGCTGCAGCATGGCTTTACCACGTCAACCATAATATACATAGCTGCAGCATGGCTTTACCACGTCAACCATAATATACATAGCTGCAGCATGGCTCTAAGTTACCATACGTCTGATACTGCGGTCCTCAATTCGCCTGCCAAACTTGACAATGATCCCTGTAAAAGGAGGCCTTCGTCCAGCTTTGGACTTTAACGGTCATGTGAGTTAAGTAAGACGAATTTACTGATACCAATAATTATTACGGAATCATTACTTACACACGTATACTATCGCGAAATAATTAGTACGTAGAAAGCGATGAGTAACCCCCAGATAATTCTACTGACACGCAACTAATTTGTAATTATAAGACTGACAATTAGGAAGTCGTCTCTTGGGTCATTCGCGATAGCTGATCGTCTTACAGTAGACGCGGGCTGCACGGCACGGACGACACGCGGTTGTGTTTTGACCGCAGGCTTTCTCTTAGTTTTGGCAGGGTTATGGAGCAAGTACTCCAATCACAGAGTATTTAACTACTTGCACGTGCTACAACCATGCTAAAGCTAAATTGTGCTCTACGAATGGGTTGGCTCGACCGGGGAAAGACCACGCTCTCACAGAATACGAGCATAAAATAGCAGCTTAACACTGCTGTGTTTCGTATGGTGAGTGTAGAGAACCGCAGACCTTTCCTACTGGAAATGGGGCATTCCATCTTAGTGCTTAGGGACGACAACGCATCTGTATTTCGATTCTTTGCTTCACAGCTATGATATGGTTGATGTGGTAGAGATTCTTGACTGCCTCGTTGGTCTAGTGGTTGTAGTAGTGCGACTGCTGATCATGAGGTCCTGGGTTCGAATCCCGGGTCAGGCCAAAAATCAATTATTGAGTTTTTCCGTCAAGAAATTCTCAGTAGTTGCCCGCAGTCAGGAACTTGACGGTGTCTCATCCCCGTGCCTCGGAAAGCACGTAAAGCCGTTGGTCCTGCGCCTGATCTCTCTCCCGGTCGTGTCGGTTTACTGGTCCACCGGATTACGAGAGTGAGGGAAGAGAAAGTGCACCTGTGCTTGCGCATACACTTGCCACTATAATCCTATCCTGCGCTGATGGTAGCCGTTGGAGCCGCCGTGGCCGAATTTCGGTCTGGAGGACATTATTATTTCAATTCTTAAGCGAGGATGAATGTAGATGTGTATGGGCCACTTCATCCGGTGAATTGTGTGCTCGTTTATCACCCTTATTCTATAAAAAGAAAACATTGCAACTAATGATTTCATAGGGTTCCCGCTTTGTCGCGGCAGATGCTTAGTAGTCATAGTTTCGTGTCTGGTCCAAGGTGGCCGCTCTTAATACAAAAGACTAAAACATAATACTCAAAAACAAAGAAATTTTTGAGATTAAGAAAAAAAAAAAAAAAAAAATTTTTAAATATTTATTTTTTAAAAAAAACAAAAAAAAACCCAAAAAAAAAAAAAAAAAAAAAAAAAAAAAAAAAAAAAAAAAAAGAACAAAAAAATCCCCCGCGGGGTACGAAAGTCCGAAATTGTTGTCTGCTCTGAACTGTAGCGGGAGAGGTGCCATCTAAGGGATTGCATTATATTAACAGGCTGTGAAGCATTACATCTTAGCTCTCAAAGGTAACATCGCATTTGTAGCCTTTGCTTGAAGATTGTTGCAGGTGCTTGCGGGCTGCATCAGCCACTTACCATCTGCTGGATTTTAAGTTTATTTGTCACTTCAATCTTATAAAAAAAAATCGGCCAAGTGCGAGTCGGACTCGCGCCCATGAAGAGTCCCTACCATCGTAAAAACACGTTTCTAGTGTAATTAGTAGTAGGTTTTATTTTTATTATTTGTTGTTATTACTGCAACAGAATTACATTTTCTCTAAAAATTTCAATTGTCTATCTATTATGGTTCGTGCCACTAGGCATGAAGATGTATGGTTATCAAATATACTCA